TATTTCTCTCTCTCTATCTCTCTCTATTTCTCTCTCTCTATCCCTCTATCTACCTACCTACCTAATTACTCTCTCTCTCTCTCACCCTACACACCTACTGTATTTCTCTCTCTTTCTCTCCCTCTCTATCCCTCTATCTACCTACCTACTTTTTTAAATTTTGCCTCTTCAAAACCTTGGTGTGTCTTATACTCCGCTGCGTCTTATACTCTGAAAAATACGGGTACCTCAATTTTACCCACATCTACAAAATCATAAATTTGGGAGATATTAAAAGGTATAATTATAGCACACATTAAATCTTAGTTAGCTTACTACTGTAATTTTAACAGTAGAAACCAAAAAGCACAGAGAAAGCAAGTAGAAAAAATACAATTTCTTGGTCCAATATTGTAAAAAGGATACAAAATAATTTCTTACTTCTAAGTTTTTCTATGAGTATAAATTTTTTAATGCTTATTACTGTGTAAGTATGCAAAGTTAGTACAGATAGTCCTCAAGTTAGAACCACAATTGGGCCTGGAATGTCAGTCATTCAGCAAAGTAGTTATTAATCACCCCTATGACTGCTGCTGTTCAATGACTGCAATCCTGGCACTCCTGGATGCGGTCATCAAACAATCTCCTGGGTCATTTAGCGGACCTAGTGAAAGAACTGCATGTCAAGTTCAGCTCCGATATATGCATGGAAAGGAACTGCTGTAATGAGCTGCAGGAATGGTGCTGGGATCTTTGGGATCTGACCTCTATTTTTGCAGCCTTACAGAGGAGTTAACACCCCACACATGCGTGGAAGAGAACGCCAATGGCAGGCTGCAGGAATAGAGTTCTTTCCTGCAAGTTTGTTTCTGCAGCCCTTTGAAAGAGTTCATTAGTGGAGAATTCCATTGAAGGCCTGAGAATCAGAGGTCAGCTCTCTGAGATCTGAGTTCCGTTTCTGTAGTCTACCGGAGGAGGTCCGCTCCCCTTGGCAGGCAATACTTTCATTCTGAAAAGCTGTCTACCAGGGCGGAAGCTTAGTTTCATGGCAGGTGAAAGCAGTTTGCAGCCTTCCCTGTTGTTTTCCCCTTTAACTTTCTGGGGAAGCTGGGAGAGAAGATTGAAAAAGGTGATCACAACCAGTGGAAACTGGTTGTGAGAAAAGATTGTTAAGCATCCAGAACATGATGATATGATCACTCTATGATAGCTGAAAGTGCATTATGGGTCGACAAGCACCCTTTCAAAGGCTATTGTAACTTCAAATGGATGTTAAACTGCCTGTCATAAATCAAGGATTACATGTATTTACCTGCATTTAAGGATTATCTGTATTACCTGGCCCAAGCTGTTAATATTTAAGAAAGCAACTGGAAATAAATGAACTTAAAATACTGTTTGTTTATAATAAATTACAGATTATATATATATAAACATTTTCTGTGTGTGCATTAAAATACCAAGGATTTAAAAGGCAAGCCTCAGTTTTTGACAACAAATATTGAGTTCTAAAATGCAGACATTAAAATTAGAAACTGGATCCATATTTTAAATGATCCCAAATAGAAGGACATCTTCAAAAAACAAAAGTTAGTAAAGAGCCTAACTTAAATTTTGCTATCAACCCTATCGAGAATGATTACATTTCTTCAATGCATTTGCATAATAAGATACCCTGTAGATTTTGAACATTTGCTGTTTTTTAAAGCCTTTTAACAAGAATTCATGTTTGGGCATGCAAGCCTATGTATCATTCGGCAACTACTGTTTAATAAATAGTGATAAAAGATCTTTAGCTATTCTCCTTGTCTGCCAGGCTTACACACACTAATGCGGACTGTGGTCATGGTATAAGACACCTAATAGTCTGACCTTTTTTCCCTACTAATTGTATTATGGAGCCAGCTGGCTTCAGAAAGGAGTTGTCTGCATGATTGAAGAACTTCTGCTAGGGTTAGGCATGGGTGCTACTTTTACTGAGTAATAGCCCATCCTGACATCCCCATTGTCTGCCTGACAGAGTGCCCATCCTAAAATCGAAGTTTTATTTGTAAATTAACCAAGAAACTTCCTGCCAGAACAGTGCTGCCTGGAGACTGATAATGTGTGCCTTTCATTCCCTTTCACTCTTACTGTATTCACTGCCAATTTGTTTTCTGCTGCCAGCCAGCCTTAGGCTATAAAAAGCCTTGTAAGACATAAGTGCAATTATAGTCCTGGAGTCAAATGAATTGAACAAATCCAATAGCGCAGCTCTGTCTCCACTTTGCAAACCCCTACAGCAGTTAGATTAGCTGCTAAAAATCTAATCTAGCTATAACTAATGAATTTCTTGAGTAAAGAGCAAAGGTTCATATGGGGGGGGGGAGCCGTGTTTCTCAGCTGATTGGCTTTCTGTCACTAATTGATTTTTTAAATTAAAAAAGCTACATATAATTCTGACAAGGAGCTGTTAGTTAGCTACAGTGCGTGCATCTCTACTATGGTTACAAGATGATTGGATTGAAAACCAAAATGAAAGACTGCACATAATGACCAATCCTTAAGACCAAAAAAAATACCATCAAATGGTTATTTCACAAATCTGCCAGCAATTACAATTACTTTACTGTTTTTTCATCAGAAAATAGAAAACTGAGTTGTCCTGCTAGCTGGTATTAAGGAAACACGCCTTTAATTATTTTATTCTAAGCCAACTAGTAATATTCCTCAATAGTTGTCAAATATATGACACTTATTTTAGATGTCATGTGCAGGTGCAACTATTTTACATACAAAAAAGCCTCTCTTATCATTAAATATTTCTATGACATCTGTTTTACTCTGTGGGTCAAAAAATATACTGCCTGCCACAGAATAGTCATATTTATAGGCAGTTTTTCTGGCAGCAGGTGGTATGACCTTCTGTCATGCTATTGAATTTGTCAGCTAAGCGAGTTATTCAGCTTTCTCCTTCCAATGCTTGGAAATTGGCAAATTAAAAGGAAGGGGGAATGACAATAGCAGGAATACAAGTATCACCTAAATAGCTGAAGAGGCAAAATGTATTGTTAAACAGAGAAGCAATCTTAAAATGTGTATTTTTTTCTGACAAGAGATTTGAATATACAAATTTATATAAACATGATCTAAAAAATAAATATTAAAAATGCCTGCCTCTATAGATAGACTTTTAAAAGATGTTATGGAAGAGAATCAAGTTCTACCACACAAGATCAAGACTGATTTCAAAGTGGATTTAAAAATGATAATGCTACAAGAATGACACATTGGACATGCAAAACAAACCAGGTGATGTCTTAATAATTAAAAGGGATATGCAAATAACATAGCGAGTAAGTGATTGTAATTGTAGTCTTTAATAAAATTACTTCACAAAACCCCCAAACACAATAAACAATCTTGCTGCTAACAGAAGGCAACAGGCACTTCTGAAAAGATAATATTATACTATTTATATTTAGGTTTATATTTTACCTTTTTGGTCAGTGAGTCATCTGAGTCAGACGGCATTCGTGTAGATACATGAAAAATTACTTCTACAGTTGAAGTAGCATAATATGGGGCTGTTTGTCCTGTGCTACCGTTACGCTGAAGACCACCCATAAACCCACAGTGAGTTGAAAGATCAACCTTAATCAAGCAGAAAATAAAGATGTTAGCCTTAATTTGTAATTAAAAACAAAGATAAAGGAAATATCCTCTGAATTTACTGGAACACTTTTACTAAATGAACTTAAAATTAATGTTTTATTTTTGTTATTTTAGCTGACTTGTAAGTCACTTTAATTGAAGTCCACTTTGATGACATGTATCTCAGTTTTTCATAAATTGGTATAAAACAAGACCTTACAATAACATACACAAATCTTAAAGTAACACTAAAGCAAAACACATAGCACTAGGCACATAAATCGGTTTATTTTATAATCATTCCTACACAGAACACTTCAGATAAGATATCCAATATATTACAGATATCATACATGTTATATTATAATATATGATATACCATTCATATGTATTAAAATGACAGTTGGTCTTACCTGAACTGTTATCTTAAGAGGTGTTTGCAGGATCTGCAAACCCACTCTGGAAAAAAGTAAATTGTTTCACTGACAACTAAATAATGAAGTCTGGAATCAACTAATGGGTTGTAGAATATCCAGAAGGGTGCATAAAGTTCTCCTTATAATAAACATTTTATGGTAGATTTTTCTGAATGAGGGTAACTAAGTGCTCAGAACTAAAATTCTTGCAGTAGCCATTGGTACTATATTATTTGGTAACATGATGGGCATCATGTTGGGGTTCATAGATGTTCTGAAAAATTATAGGATTAGTTCTCCTGGCTTCTTTGCTAAGTAGTAACCTAAGTGATATTACATGTCTGTTGAGAACATGTGAGAGTTGAACTCAGGCTCAGTAATAAAAGAAATGCTGGATTAAATGGATTGGACTAGACCAGTTAATCTAAAATGTGGATAAATTAATATCACAACTCAAATATTCCATTACCACCATTAATATTATTATTTGAAACAAGACATTTGGGCAATATTTACCTCCCAACCCAATCCAGCAATAAAATCTTCATATGCTTGGCTTCCTTGTGGATTGGACAATATTGAGCATTTATCTTCTTGTCCTTCAGCAATGTAAACTACTGCAATCTTGTGAGTTTCACGACTGCAAAAACGAACGAAAATATTGTACCTTTATATAATGGATTTTTATTCTGAAGAGTTACATGCAGTGTAAAATAGATTTCAACAAAAATAATGAAGAATGTATAATTAAAAATATACAAACAATAATTTTGTTGACAACTGAAGAAAATATATAACCCGCTCCCACAAGTTTTGTTATTGGCACTTCACATTTTTCTTAAAAATAAACAATTTTTTAAAAAATTAAACACTTCTCCCTGCATGGATTGCATTCTTCTCTTCTACTCATTAAACCGACCCTTTGGAGCTAACATTACTTTTTTCTTTTACTATCTGTTTTCCTTTTGTGAATTTGACATGTCTGTAAGCTATGAAATATAATGTTACAAATATTCCTACAACTACTGAATTCTACTTCATTTGGCATTATTTTAATCTTGGCTAGGAATGTAAACCAAAGATCATTGCAAACCATCTATTTAAAAAATCGTAAATTTGTTTCCCAACATTCTGAAATAAAGCATTACAATGATTTAAATATATGTCTATTGAGTACTGGTTATATAAACTCAATTTATAACCACATTAATTTTGTCCATTTTATTTTATCTTATGACCACAATTTACAATATTTTTTGCTCAAAACTGCCATTTACTTCCAGTTTATAGCAAAAAAAGACCTGAACAATGCAATTTTTTTGCACTGTTGGTTGCAGACAATGGGTTTGCTTAATGACTGTGATGTTCACTTAATGACTGCTGCAAAGAATGCCATTAAGTAAAGGGACTCACTCAGTGACCACTTCAGAAAACGTCATAAAATCAGTCACAGCCACATACTCACTTGCTTAACAACTGGCCTGGTTTATGGCCATAATTCCAGGCTCAGTCATAAGTCAAGGACTACTTGTAGGCAAAACCAATCCAAAACTGACCAAGAATCAAATTTGTGTGGATAAGTAAATTTTATTTATATATGCTCAAGACCAACATGGTTTTTAATGGAATTTGTTCATAACGATGGATTTATATTTTGTAATTATAAAGAAAGAGTAAGATATGTATTTTTAAAGGTAAAGGTTCCCCTTGCACACATGTGCTAGTCGTTCCCAACTTTAGGGGACAGTGCTCATCTCCGTTTCAAAGCTGAAGAGCCAGCGCTGTCCGAAGAAATTTCCGTGGTCATGTGGACGGCATGGCTAAATGCCAAAGGTGCATGGAACGCTGTTACCTTTCCACTAAAGGTGGTCCCTATTTTTTTTACTTGCATTTTTATGTGCTTGGCAGAAGCTGGGACAAGTAACAGGAGCTAACTCTGTAACGGGATTCAAACTGCCGACTTTTCTGATCAACAAGCTCAGTGTTTTAGCCACTGAGCCACTGCTTCCCTATGTATTTTTAGAAAACATTAAAAAATATTGCAGCTGATACTCTAAGCATATTCATGAATTGTAAGTAATTAGAACGTTTAACTTACCATTGTCTAGAGTCTAAATTTTTCAGTTCTCTCAATAACTTAGAATTTTTCTTCAAAATATTAAAACTTTTTCTAAAATAAATAGAATAAAATTATGGTAGAATATCTCATAATACATAACTGGTATATTTTGTAACTAACAAACTGGTGTATTTTTGTTAATTTAGCTACTCTGAAGTCCTCCTATCTGACTGCTTTTGGCTCTCAATAATTCCTCCCTCCAAACCTATTAACTTCTGTTTAATGGTCTAACATCAGGATCTAGAGACCATTTCGAATAATGCACCTAAGAAAGTGGGATAAAACATAACTTTCTATAACTATTTATGCAGCTTAGTCAGAATGGAAGTATATTAGTTACTTGATTTTTCTATAAGCATGTTATCAAGTACATAAATTTTCTATTTTCAAATTATATTTTCTAACTTACTTATAAAATTTCAGTTTGGGAAATTCATTAAAATTGAAATATTTCCTGCCAAAATAGTGTGTGTATGTATTTATGGGTACACACATGCATGCATACATGCACACACCCAAAGGTATCTGAAAGGAAAAATGAGCAATTTTCAATTAGGTGATATCTGATCTAAGAAAATCGTGACACTTAAATAATAAAATACATTTTATGGTATAAATTCTTAGAGCAGAGGTTCTTGGGTTATTGTTGTTTTGCTGAAAAAAGGCTAAAGTGGCAGTGCTTATGCCTCCGTAACTGAGAGTGAAAACCTAGGATCTACTTTTAAAGATCTATTATGGCAATGGTGACTTAGTTCAAACGTGATAATTTTAACTTTTGGGGTACTCTGGTACTTATAGGAGATAGAGTTCAAAATAAGCATTTTTCAATAAATACCTTTTTATACTGTATTGGAGTAGGGAAATCCTTACCACTGAAGAATAAATTGGAAAATAATTATTTCCTTCCTCCCCCGATGTATTACTCATAAATGCTGAAGCCAAATGGCAACTATAGTTCATATCAGAATTTTAATTAGTAAATAGCAACTTAAGCATGCCTATTAGTTTGACTATAATAAAATTTAATCCATTTAGGTTGAATTACTGTCAAACTAAATTCAGGAGAGGCACTGAGATTATTTTTAGAAGCCCCTATTATCACCCTTTAACCACATGGATAGAAGTAGCAATCTCACTTGAATTACACTAATTATTGCAATTTATTTCCCACTTTTGTGTCCTTCATTAAAATCTGTCCTTCATTAAGGAGGCCAAGAAAATATTAAATTGGAAGGGGAGGAATGATTTAATTTTTATTATTGAATTAACCAGGAGGTATTTTCCACCTTGTGGTAGCATTCCTTGTGTTTAAAGACTCCAATCTTTAAAACCTTCTCAGAGGGAGGAGCTATCTGTCTCCCAAACCGGACTGAGAGGAAGATTAGCCCTCAACCTCATATGTTTTTTTAAATCTGTAATTTACTTCAGTGAAATGCAGAGAGTCAGGATGCATACAGCTAAACTATGAAATTCACTGTCAGAAGTTGTGGTAATGGTAGCCAAATAAGTTTGTACGGGATCAAACTATCAATTCATATTCATAATTGATATTTGTTTACTATTTTCTAGTACGCAGAAAGCCTTAGATACTGGCTGCTGAGAAGCAATCTAGAATAGAATAGAGCTGGAAAGGAGCTTGGAAGTCTTCTAGGCTGGTCCCCTGTTCAAGCAGGAGATCCTATACCTGGGATGGCAAACCTATGGCACGTGTGCTACAGGTGGCACGGGGAACCCTCTCTTCAGGCACGTGAGCCGACACCCAGCTCAGCTCTACTGCGCATCTACGTGAACCTCCCACTGGCCATCTGATTTTCAGGTCTCTGCTGCACATGCAGGAGACATGCGTGCATGTACATGGGGGTCTCACATGCATATGTGCATGGGGTAGCATGGGAGGGGGTGCCACCCACACCCCATGTTTGGCCCCAGCAGCCTAGCAGGGAGGCCTGTTAGGCCCAAAATAGCCTCTGTGTATGTGTGTGTCGCACGGCCATTGCATTATGGGTGTGGGCACATGCGTGCGCGCTGTCACCCGTACACACATGCTTTTGGCATGCAAGGACAAGAAGGTTAGCCATCACTGCCCTATACCACTTCAGACAAGTGGCTGTCCAGCGTCTTCTTAAAAACCTCCAATGATGAAGCGCCTACGATTTCTGAAGGCAAGCTGTTCCACTGGTTAATTGTCCTCACTGTTAGGCAGTTTCTCCTTAATTCCAGGTTGCTTCCCTCCTTGATTAGTTTCCATCCATTGTTTCTTGTCCTGCTCTGATGCTTTCAAGAATAATTTGAACCCCTCTTCTTCGTGGCAGCCCTCCAAAAATTGGAATACTTCTATCATGTCTTCTTTTATCTAGACTAGCCAAACCCAAATTCTGCAACAAAGGCCTTTTGCTCTTAGTTACTCTTCTCTGAATTTTTTCCAAAGTCTCAACATCTTTTTTGTAGTGTGGTGACCAAAATTGGTTGCAATATTCTAGGTGTGGTCTTACTAAAGTTTTGTAAAGTGGTACTAATACTTCACGTAATTTTGATTCTATGCCTGTTTATACAACCCAGGATTGTATTAGCTTTTTTTTGGCTGCCACAATACACAGCTGGCTCATATTCAAGGACTCCAAGGTCCCTCTCACAATTACTGTTTTTGAGCCAGGTCTCACCTAATCTGTACTTATACCTTTGGTTTTTCCTGTCTAAATGTAAAACTTTTGCTTTTTTCACATTAAAATTCATATTGTTGGATAGGGCCCATTGTTCAAATCTGAGGTTCTCTTCTGGGGCGTTGGCTATGCCAGTGTTTCTCAACCTTGGCAACTTGAAGATGTCTGGACTTGACTTGAAGTCCAGACATCTTCAAGTTGCCAAGGTTGAGAAACACTGGGCTATGCCTCCAACCTAGTGTCATCTGCAAATTTGATGAGTTCTTCTAACCCCTCATCTAAGTCATTTATGAAGATATTGAAGAATACTGGGCCGAAGTCGGAAGTTTGTGGTACCCTACTGCTTACTTCTCTCCATGTAGCCCTTTTCCAATCCTCAAGGATTCCTCGATGCTCTGGGATTTTTGAAAGATATGGTACAATGGTTCTGAGATACTGTTTCTCCCCAAAAATAAGACAGAGTATTATTTTCTTTTGACCCTCGAAATAAGCGGTTGGCCTTATTTTCAGGGAGGTCTTATTATTTTTGAGGTCCATGAAGCGGCAAGCGTGGTCACCTCATGGCTGCTGCTGTGTTGCAATATTTTGGGGGGGAGGGCTTATTTTTGAGGAAAATCTTGTTTCAGTGCATGCGCTCAAAAGCCCAATTGGGCTTATTATCCGGGGAGGTCTTATTTTGGGGAAAACAGGGCAGTATCTATTTAGATTGTCCAAAAAATAGGTATAAAAACTGGCCCCTTGGCCCCTCCAGTTGAATTTAGTCATTTTACTGGTCCCAAAGACTTTGCTTTTAGACATTCTGGTTCTTAGCTGTTCTACAGAACCCTTCTTTTAAGACAGGGCTTGCCTGCAAGTTCCAGGAAGAGATCATTCCAAGGTGGAAAATGTTTCCTGCACAACTCAGGAAAATAAACAGAAAGAAATAAAAAGGAAACAGCAGCAGCAATGAATAATAAAAATGTAATGGTACAGAAAGCTCTGAAAAACTCCACAAACTTAGCAGTTGATACTAGCTGACGAATTATGTTGAATTACAACAGGGAAATAAGATTTTTTCTTTTCTTTTACAGGGAGTAAAAGATCTGATTGGAATTCTGGAAAGGCACCAAATATATCCCCCCCTTTCCACGATAAAGAACTCCATGTACCCTGTTCTGCAAGTGATGGGAGTGTAGTCCTAGTACTTCTTTCATAATAGATACTGAGTTCCTGACCATTTAGAGGCAGCTTTTAAAAAAATAATACCCCCCCCCCTCCTTTTGCTCACTGTACAAACTGAGTTGGAAGAAGAGGTTGATTTGGTTCTTCTCTACATTAAAAAAGGCTTAGCTTTCCTCTTTTCTTCAGAAATAAGTATTACTTGAAGATCCAACCTTACCTAAGATAACTCTTTACTAAGGAAGAATAGGGAACCTTTAGGAAACTTGTGACTAAACATTGCATCTTAAGGGAGAGAGAATGTAAACAAGGGCAGAATGACCTCTCCTTCTCCATGGATACTAATTAGAAGTTGGACCTTAACTCAGTAAAAATTGCTCTCTCCCATTGGGTAAGGAAAAGTAAATAGCCTTTTAGTCCATGACTACTGGGAAAGGCACTAATGTTCCTCCCCACCCCCTCAAAATTCTTAGAGTACTGTGAATGCTTACCTTTTTTCCCACGAATTCATTCCTAAGTCATTTAGCAAAAGCCTACATAAATGAAATGGTGACTGCGGCAGAGCAGATCTTGGCATCTTCTGATTTTCGCTTTTTGTATTGTGATTCAGATGGTATCCATGAGCATATTCATTTTCTATGCAACTTTGCTGCATTATTGCTTCAATTATATCATTAGCTTGGGCATGACTCATGACAGACGGGGATGGGGATGGCTCATTTAATTTTATTTGTGGATGTAAAAGACACTCGGGACTACTACTGCCAATCTTTTCTAGCAACCTATCAAGAGCATCTTCTCCATCATCTATCTGAATGAAATCAGTTGGAGACTCAAAGTTCTGCTTATTTTTTTCCATAACCACAGAGAATTTTCTGTTCATCTGGTCTAATGAACAAGCACCTAATGGTCCATGCATCAATTGTCCATCCCATGAATATTTTCCAGAGATATCCCTAACAATTACTCTTACTTCTGAGAATGAGTCTTCCAATTCATCAGCCATTCCCCTTTTTGAAGGAATCTGGAGGTAAGAAATGACAGCATTGTCATTAAATTCAAAGATCTGTAAATTGGGGCTTCGGAAGATTTCAGGTGAGAGTTCAGAAGATTCCATACAAGAATTGCTGTGGTTTTCACTGATAAGACTATGTAGAACAGCAGGTCCTTCAGTTAGAGGATAATGGCCCAAATTGTTAACTAGATGTGTCATAATCATTCGTGCTGTCAGTGGTATTAACTCCAAGCTTCTCCGCTTCATTTCTGGAAATAGTTAATAACAATGATTATAATTTTAAAAAATAAAACAGCCTACAAAGACACACACACACACACATCCTTCTCAATTTTGAAATTTAAGACAAGATACATTCTCAATTTTTATAAATATCTAAAATGAGAAGGTACAAGTTATACAGTCTGACAAGAAATTAACTAATAATATAATTTTAAAAATAGTATCTAAAGATATGCTAGTTGTGGATTTGAAACTAGATAGGTTTGCTCCAAGTATATTTAAAGGTACCACATTATTTAACCATAAATTGAAAACTGAAGAATATTAGAAACACTTTTTTCATAAATCTACATAAGAAAGCAAAAGATCAGGAGCAGATTATTATTTCAAATCATCTGCAATAACTGTTTAATTTGCTCCTCTCTGTGATGCTGTGATACTTTGGCAACAATATGGAAGGTGTGTGGTCCAGACTGAAGTCTACTGAAGCAGTTCCCAGCCTTTCCAGCTTGGCATCCTGGCTCGATGTGGGGTCGGGTAACTGGCAGGCACACGGACGCACACACAGCTCCATTTATGCAAACAGTGGACGCTGGTGCCTTCCACTAACGCAAATGGAGTTTTGCACATAAGCAGATGGTGTTTGTGTTCGCGCACAAAGTTCCAGTCACACGAGCAGAGGGTGCTTCTGCTCACATGCAAAATTCCTTGCAAGTGGAGGGCACTGCCACATTCATGTGAATGGAGTTTTGTGCATGACCGCAAACGCCCTATGCTCGCATGAGTGGCGTTTTATGCGCAAGCACAAGTGTGCTATGCTCACGTGAGATGAGCTTCAGGCATTGTGGGCTCCCCATCTCTCCTGCGGCCCAGTTTCAAACAGGCTGCTGCCCGGTAATGGGCCCATTGGACAGTTACCCTATTGCTTCCCACCTTTCTGTTCCAAGAAAGCGGCAGCCAATTGTTTTCCTTCCTGTAGGCAAAGCTTAATGCACATAAACAGTTATTTTTTTAAAAAAATATTTATTTACATAAATTTATTATGTCAATTTAAATTTATTAACATAAGATAAAAGAAAGGAGATGGAGCCAATCAAATGATAAATTTGATTATATTGCTGCTGCCATGGTGTAAATGGAAAGGAAGGAAGGAAGGAAGGAAGGAAGGAAGGAAGGAAGGAAAGACAGAAAGAAAGAAAGAAAGAAAGAAAGAAAGAAAGAAAGAAAGAAAGAAAGAAAGAAAGAAAGAAATGTCCTTCTGGGTTCGGCTCCAAGTGGGGAT